AAAAAAAAAATGAGAATTTAGTCTGAGTGGAGTAAAAGACTCCATAAAAGCCGTTTCTCTCATCTTTGTGTGCCTGGTCTTTGCCTCCAACCTTCCTGGCTCTCTTTCGTCATGAGGTTGATGACCACCTTACAGGTTTGAAACTTAGAGCAAGAATAAGAAGGCCTTAGAGCAAGAATAAGAAGGCAGTGATGGAAGGGAAGTGCCCAGGGATGGGCACTGATTCTGAGCTAGGGACAGGCAGTATTGGTTTCTCTGTAGGTTTTCATGAGTGCTGAGCACTGCACATTAACTCTTCCCTTGTCAGCTCTGTCCCTCCTCATCTTCCTCTTGCCTCATGGAAACTTTGAATGCTCAAGTAGCCTTTCAGTGGCACAAAATAACTTTTAGCACACTGTTGCATTGGTGCCTCGGTGGGCTTCTGGTTGTAAGTGGGCAGAATTTTCCATAGACTTAGGTTCTGCTGAATTATTGAAAAGATCACATTTCTCCACAATTGGAATTTGTCCCTGTCCATTCTCGCTTCCTGTCTCTCCCCACCTTTTTCGGAATGAGAGTACAGCGGAATTGTCTTCTCAGAGAGCTATTCAAGTAGGGGAACTTGAGAAGCACAGTGCAGCTGGACATAATGTTGAAGTAAATTCTTTTATTTTTGCACATTGATGATGCTTAACTAGGCTTCAGGCACTGTTCTGGGCTCTTGGGAAGCAAAAGACACAAAGCGTGGAGTTGTCATTCTAGCAGAGGTAAACGAATGGCATGAGTGAATTCGAATATGAGAGAGCTCATGGAAAAAAGCAGGCAAGTCCTCGGGATGCTGGGCTGGGATAGAGGGCAGGTCTCAGTATTCCAGTACGAACTTAGGGAAAAAGATGTGAGAAAGACGATGTTTATGTCAGTTGGGATTGACCCAGAGGTTTGTCTTAAGGAAAAGAACTGTTGAAATTTCTCCAGCCAGTTACTGCTTTTCCAGCCACTCCTGGACCCATCTAGAAGCCCTTGCTGTTTCTAAATGCTGCTGGGCACATCCTGCTTGTTTCTCCTGCTGTCATTCCTCTTGCCCAGAGTGTTTTTTGTTTTTTTGTTTTTTTTTCCCCCGCAAAGCCTAGCCCAGGTGGCGTCTCCGTGACATTATTTATGGAGATGGGCATGATTGTAACAAACTAGACTGCAAGATACAACACTTAAGATTGTGGCAGTTCCACTAAAGGAAGGAGAGTGTTTCTAGATGGGGCCTTAAAGGGTGACCCACATCCCTAAAGGGCTTAGGAGGACACTCCAGGCCGAGATAAATCCACAAACTAAACAGCATGAGGAATGGTGAGCAGAGTCAAATCCAAGGGTGTTTAAAACGCAGATCAGGGAGGGCTGCAAACTTGATGCTAAGGAGTGGGAGTTAATTGCACAGGAGAAGCCACTTCCGTCTTCCGGGGCTTCTCTCCTGTGAGAGTTTCCACCAAGGAGGGGAAAAATTCATTGGCTCTTGTGGGTTCCCAGTTTTTAATCTCTGGCAGGTGAGGAACAGAAGAGAAGGTGGTTAGTAAAAATTTCCTATCTTCCATCTCTCCATCCTTGTTTTTCCAAAATTCAGATAATTATTTTATAAAAATGACGTAATTTGTAAATAATTTTAAATAGTGCATAAAAATAAACAACAAAATTCACTAGCTCACTACTGCTAATACTCCATTCACTGTCATTTCAGATTCCTTTGTTCTCAGCCGTGTGCAGTGTACGTTATCCGATCACGGCATCTTTTTCAAGGCCGCTCTGCACGGATGTAACCAACTCCCTCTTGCTGGAAGTCAAGCGGTTTACAATTCTTTTTATTCAGGTTCTCTCCAATTTTTGACTCTTATAAACTCAGTTTCAGTGACTCGCCTGTATAATTTCTGCACTTACCCAATATCTCTTGCTAGAAATTATGGACACTTTGAAAAATTGAGATGTCTGTAACTGAGGTGCACAGTGCTAGAATTCTGTACTGCAAATACTCCCTGTGGGCATTGTGTGTGTGTGCACGCTAGATGTGTATAAGAGACAGGTTCTGTACTGCAAATACTCCCTGTGGGCATTGTGTGTGTGCACGCGTGTGGTTTCAAAGCGTTTTAGCGACAGCCTCTTTCCTCAGATGTGCATGGTACCACTGCAGGGTGGGTAAGGGAGATGGTGGGTAAGGGTACCACCAGCAGGTGGGTGAGGAAACTGGCCTCCTAACCACTTCCCCAGTGCATGCCCCCAGCACCACCTGCCCATAAAGCGCATTTGCAGCCAGCTTTCAAAGCACTGACTCAGGCCAACCCCAACAAAAGCTTTTGTAGTATAAAATGATTGGGACAAATCATAGCCAAACTGAAAACAGAACTTTCTACTTTCCTCCCCAGAAACCGCTTTGATTCCTAGTTCGAGTAGCCTAATTAGGCAGATCAAAGAGACAACACGTTTTTCTGAGAAGTTGAAAATCATACCGCAAAATTCTGTTGTGTTTCTCAATGTAGGAAGTTGTTACAAGGGTTACGTGTGAATGCTGTCTTAGTTGTAGGGGAAAGCACCTTCTGGAAGTGGTCTGATTGGACTTGCATACCTAGAGTTGCTCAGTGGTGGCCTCTATCCGTGCCATCCTCCCAGCCACTTTGTGGTCATAAGATCTCGCAATAGTTTCTAGACTAAATCGTCGCGTACTAAACACAATGAGTGGAACTGAAAGTCTTATTTAAGGACTCCGTGTCCCATTAGGTGGAAGGCTTGGATTAGGCGGAAGTCATAAGTTCTATTCTTTTTAAAAAATGAGGTCAGGTGGAGTGGCTCACACCTGTAATCCCAGCACTTTGGGAGGCCGAAGTGGGTAGACTGCTTGAGCCTTGTTTCGAGACCAGCCTGGGCAACGTGGCAAGACCCCCATCTCTACAAAAAATACAGAAAATTAGCAGAGTGTGATGGCTCATGCCTGTAGTCCCAGCTACTTGGGAGGCTGAGGTGGAAGGATCACCTGAGTCCGGGGAAGTCGAGACTGCAGTGAGCTGAGGTTGCACTACTGCACTCCAGCCGGGGTGACAGAGTTAGACCCTGCCTCAAAACAAAAGGAAAAGAAAAAAAATGAGCCCTACTTGAAAAACTGGCTGCACCCCCCTCCCGCCCAGCGCCCACCCTGCCAGGGTGCCCGACTCCCCCGTGCCTCAGGACCCTTGCACTTGCTGCTCTCTTTCTCTAGGATGCACCTCCCCGTGCGTTCATGACTCTATCTCTGCTAAATTGTTCCCTCCGCAGAGAGGGCTCTGCCCAGCCTGTCTAGAGTAGCAGCTCTACCATGATCTCCCTTACTTCCTCATCGCCTCCATC